ACCAGAACACACTTGACAGGCTGTGTCCAGGAATGGGCCTGGCTGGTGTTGCTAACAGGTGGGGTACAGGGCTTGCCAACCTCACCCTACTGTTCAGGTGACTTGACTAGCCTCAGAGAAGGGCAGTGCATGGCAAGTTAAGGGGCATCTACACACCAATGACACAGACGACGTCTGGCTACCATCAGAGTAAAGACAGCCAGGGATATGGTGGGACCTAGAGCCCCCAGAGCCTCAGCCCACCCACCGCCTACTGTTGTGGTGGCTATGGCTGGCCACAATGGCATTCACCTCTGAGACCTGCTGATGATCTGTCAGAAACAAAGCCTGGAGAGCAGTGGAAAGAGCTGATTCTGCTTCGAGCCTCGGCGAAGGCTAGGCCTGCACCTACTTCAGCACAGCTGCACAGGACAGTTTGTGCCTCTGCTTCTAGACACAGTTCTCCCCTGGGCAGCAGCAGGGCAGAGACCTAGGCATGGCCCACTCTGGAAGTCAGCCCTTCATAGGCCTATTACACGAGGGCTCTGGTGTGTAGCCAGGCCCTGGGCAAAGCCCACACAAGAGAGGCCCATGAGCACACCAAGGAAGGATCTGTGCAGGAACACGGCACATCCTGAGTGAGCACCTATAGTGTGCCTTTCCAGTACAAACATACCCCATCCCATGGCAGGAAGTTCAAGGGTCCCTGAAAGGTTCATGCTAGTTTTCATCAGAGTAGGCAGAGACCCATGTGCATGGGGACACAGATGCACTGTGAGCCACCTCAGTGAGCCAGGTCAGGATGGTTCCCTTGTGGTTCTCCAACCTCTACCAAGAGCACTTATCCTTCAAGCACACCTCCGCTTCCTTGGCCTCTGCGTCCTGCTGCCTGTGAAAAGCTCCCAGAGAGAATAGGAGCTCCTGAGCAAGTATGAACTGTGAAAGGAGGGCTGGCAGTGCCCAGGTTTAGCCAGAGAGGAGCTGAGCAGGGCAGAAGACAGGCAGGAGAGCTGCATGACCCATGCAGCTCCCAGACCTGCATACCACCTGATCTGAGCTCTGAACAAGGCCCTGGGCAGGAGATAAATCATCCCCTGTTCCCAATAAGTAGAATTCTAACAGAGTGCTAGTTCTGAAGCCACGGTACCCTCATCTGTACAACTAGGTCAGATGGCCAGAGCCAGATGTGGAAGAAGGCTGTATAATTCCACGAGGGACTCACAGCAGGAGCCAGATGAACCTGGTGAGTGGCAATCACTAGGCACGACATACTACCCACTTTCACCGCTGCAGAAGCCACCAGGCCCTTTCCACCCAGCTTGAGGGGCCCTGGGGCTTGGCCCCACACAGCTTCCCCTCAGCTCCTCACCAGCATGGCTCATCTACAGGGCCCGGCACAGCAGCCACTCACTCACTGCGTGACTTTCAAAAACTGACCTGGTCCCAGCAGCCACCTTCAATCCTGCTTCTGTTCACTGTGTTGCCCTCTACCCATGAATATCAACATTCCTGGTCCTGTGACACCTACGGGTCTGCTACATCCTCACCTGTTTCTCTACATCCATCTCCCTTCTCACCTGTCTCCCCCCTTGCCCACCTATCCCACCCTCACAGTTTCTTCTACCTCAAGATTCCCCTGTAGCCTGCCAGTCATCAGGGCTCCCATCCAACCTCTTAAAGGCCATTCGTAAGTGTGAAATGGGTATTTCAGGTTTCTCAATCTGGCAGACCCTCCACTGACCTGTGAGCCCATTCAGGTAAGCTTGAAGGCAATCCCCCACTCATCCCCTTCTCTTGGCCTGACTGACCACTTCTTGCAGGGTAGGGGGCCCTGTCATCACCTCCTATAGTAGGTCTGTGCTGGCTAGTTTTTACATCAACTTGACACAGACTAGATTTGGGGAGAGAGAAGATCAATTGAGGAAAAAAGATGCCCCCACCAGATTGGCTTGTAGACAACCATTTTCTTGGTTAACGATTAATATGATAATTGCCCATTCCATTCTGAGTGATGCCACTCTTGGGTAGGCAGTCCTGGGGTGGTATAAGAAAGCAGGCTGAACAAGTCATGAGGAGCAAAACAGTAAGCAACATTTCTCCGTAGCCTCTGCTTCAGTTCCTGCTTCCAGATTCCTGCCTTGCCTTAAGTTCTCGCCATGACTCCCTTCCCTGATGGACTGTGATGTGTAAATTGAAATAAACCCTGTACTCCCCAGGTTGCTTTTGGTTATGGTGTGTAGCACAGCTATAGAAATCCTGACAAAGACAGGATCCTACAGGCCTTCCTGGGCTGTGGGCCCACGAAGGCAGAGCTCCAGCATGGGCAGAAGAGTAGTGAGGCTACACAGCCTATGTAATCCTCCTTCTGGTCCTGGTGCTACCTAGACTTGAAGCATCTCCCATTCCAATTCAGTCTCTAGGGGTGCCTTCAAAGGGAGGGATTGTCTCCCATCTCTGTAGGGGCCAAGTTTGGAAAGAACTAGGGGGAAAAAGCGCATCTTAGATCAGGGGAAAGTCCTGCAGAGTCCTGGAATTCCCAGCCCAGCCCAGGAACCCCCCATCTCCTGAAGAGCTTCTGTTGGTCAGGGTTCCAAGCATTCCAATGTCACTCAGCACCTGGACCCAGGGGGAAAGTCATCAGAGGATATACTCAAGGCCTCCAAGGGTAGTTTAACAGGAGGAGAGATGACTGCATGACCACAGCTACAGCAGCCAGGTGCAAGGCCAAACACCAGCAAAAGTGATAAGAGAAACTCCCTGGGCCCAAGCCACCGCCCCATGGGTAGTCCAAAAGAAGGGGCAGATTGGATGCTCCAGAAAGCATAGAGGAGCCACATACCCCCTACCCCATCTAACTCCATGGAGGCAACATCTTGCGGTCTGTCTTCCTCTAGGTAATGTGCTTACACTACTCCACAAGGCTCACTGCCACCAGACTATCCCACAGCCCCAAGAAGCAGCTTATGTGTGGATAGGCAGATACAAGCAGAAAGAAGCAAGGGTTAGTGTTGAAATGAGCAGGTGGGTAGGAACTGCGAGCCATCTGTGTGTGTGTTCCCATGACATGTGGTCATGCCAGGAGAAACCCTCAGATCGGCATGTAAGCAGGGCAGAAGTGGACAGAGTCGAGCCCACACGCCCCATCAAGCTTTCCTGGCAAGAAGTTGGACTCTGCCTGATCCAGGGGTAGCACAGAAGGCTGAGACACAGCAATTCGGCTGGCATCTGGTGTTAAGTGGCCAGGCCCAGCAAATACAGTCAGGACCTACCTACATCCACCAGGATGACCTTTCAATAGCAGAGCGGGAAGACACACATGATGAAACATGATGAATAGTCTCCTCGGCTGCACATTGGCACTCTGGTGGTCAGAAGTCAGGAGAGAGGGTGTGTCCAGACGGCCCAGGAACAAGGCTGCTCAGGGTCCTTCTAGATCACTGGCCATCATGGTGCCATTAACTACACGACCATATAACGCCACAGAGAAAACAGGGAAGCCAGCCCCTACCCACAGGGTCCACAAGGCACCATGCATCATTCACTGCTATCATCACTTATACGCCCAGGGCTTCTTATAACAACGTTTTATTGGTAAGATAATTAGATTATTTTAATGCCTCCTGCATTCTGCTGCTCCAGGCCCTTCTCTCACACACTACAGTTGCTCATCCCAGGAAACATGCATATCCGGAACTCAATGGAACACCACCTGCCTATGCCTTACCCTCAGCCCCGAGTCCCTTGCTCAGTGACTTGGTGTTGACTGCTGAGTTTAGGGGTTGACTCCAAGGTGGGAAGATGTAGCTTCTGGGGTCCAAATATATATATATATATGCCTCCGTGACATCACAGTTGCAGGCCTCCAAGGGAACTCAGCCTGGCTCATCTCCTTCCCAAACATTGCCTTTACCACTGCCTCCCTGAAGCCCTGGGGTGCTTCTAGAGGGCCCCTAAGCCCCCACCGCACCCTCCCGCTGTCCTCCACTCCCAAGCCTGCACTGGCTCTGGGGAACTTTTCCAAATGAAAAGGAGATGTGGGCAGTGCCAGTTGGACCTCTGGGCAGCCGGAAGACAGGCCAGTCCTGGGAGAAGAAAGAAAATGGCTGAGTCCCAGCCTCCCACAAAGACGACTGTGTGAATGCGCCTAGCTGACCAGATGAGGGGGCTGACTAAACCCAGCCCGTTCCAGAAAGCTGGCCAAATTCAAGGTAGCCGGGTTCTCTGCTAGTCTACGGGAAAGCTGTGCAGAGATGGAACCTGCCCAGCGAAAGACAGTGAGGACTCTTGTGGAGGTTCGTCTCTGCTGTAGGCCCAGGTCTGTTCCAACCGTCAGACGGGGATGTATGGCTCAAGCCCAGGAACTGTCACCCTCTACCTCCCCAGGGAAGCCCAGTGTCGCAGAAGCACAGGCTTGAGGCTGGGTGCAGAAGAAGGCGCTGTCCAGCTTTCCTAAGGTTCCTGAGCTGTCACCCCCAACCCGAGCCGGAGGTCAGGGCTAGGAAAGCCAGGCCAGGTCCTGCCGGGCGGTGGCCGTTGCCTGGAGGTGGGGGTCATGCAGCCGGGACGCAGCTGCTCAGGCAGCATGCCTATTAGCGCGGCAGACGGCAGATGGGCGCCCGCTCGTCCCCCTCCTCCCGCGGCACAATGGGCCCGGCGCTAGCTCGGGCGCACAATGCGGCCCCGGGCCGCGCACCTGCAGCGGGACTGCCGGGAGCCGCCAGGCCCGGCTCCTGCAGCCCCAATCGCCGTGCGCCCCAGGCCGCACCGCGTGCCCTTGGGCTGCGCCCGCCGGCCCGCAACCGGTGGGCTGCGGGGCTCCACCACGGGACCCAGGAGTGCGGCGGACGTCGGCGCACCGCCGCCCATTGTTCGCGGCCGCCGGGCCGGGCCTGCAGCATCCCTGCTCTGAGGCCTCCCTCAGCCCCGCCCGGCCGGTCAGCACGGTCTCACCGGCCCCGCGGCCGCGCGCCCGCCCCCCACCCCGACCCCGCCCGCGCCCCAAGCAGCCGGCGCGCACGCACCTGTCTGCCCCTTGCCCAGCGTCTTCTCCAGCCGGTAGGGCCCCACATACTGCGCGTGCTGCGCCCCGCCGCCGTCCTTCCCCGTCGATGTCATCGCTCCCGGGCCCCGCGCCGGCGAGTGGGCGCCCGGGCGCGCGGGCAGGGAGGGGCCGGCCAGCCGTGCGTCCGAGTCCGCCAAGCGCCGTCCGCGCTGACCCGGCCAGCGGCGCCCCCGGGCGGGCCGCGCCGCTCTGCGCCCCCGCCGCCCCCCACGCCGCGCCCGCCGCACCCGTGTGAGGCCGGGCTGCGGGGATGCTTCTCTGCCTCTCTGAGAGAACCCGGCGGGCGGGGGCACCAGGCTTCCGCCGCCACCTCCGAGGCCCGCGCCCCGCGCCCCGCGCCCCCCAGCGCACGCCCGTCCGTGGCCGTGCAGCCGAGCCCCGCCGAGCAACCGAACCGAGCCGCTCAGCCGAGCCCAGACGAACAGCCGAGCAGCTTCGAGTGCCGCCGAGCCCGAGCCGAGCCCGAGCGGGCGCCACCGGCCGCAGCTACCGTGACAAGTGGTGCTTGCAGCTGTCAATCACAGCCATGGTCCAATCAGCGCCGTCCGCCTGGACCGCCCCGCCAGTCTCCAAGAGCGCGCTGGGCCGCTGGGCCGGGAAAGGCGAGATTGGGGTGTCGATGGGGCGGGGGCGAAGTGGAGGCCAGGCTAGGGCCAGGAGCCTCCCGACTGTGCTCTCGCTGCCGGAGATCTTGTCATTAAATGGAATGCTAGGGCGGTGCAGGCAGCAGGCCTCAGGGAGAAGTCCATGTGGCCGCCCTGGTCTGGGGGTTTCTCCCTGCACCCCTGGGTTTTGGGAGGAGTTTTCCGCCCCTCGCGAGAGTTTTGTATATAAAACTCAGACGTTGAACTGTGGTAGGGTGCCGCAGGCAGGTTTGGAGTGCTGGTCACCAGGCACAGGTGCTCCCTGCAGGGTGGGGATGTTCAGCATTGGCGAGGATACTGCTTGCGGGCCGGGTTTTGCAGACGGGGTGGAGATGCTGCTTTTACGTTGAGGTTCTGCATATAGCGTGGGTGCTATGAGCAGGCTAGAGCTCTGAACACAGGTAGTGTTCTGCATATGAGGCGGAACGCTTCATGCGGATCGAGAGAGCTGTACACTGCAGTACCTAGAGTGCCCTGGATGCCATTCTCTACCTGCTGTTTCTGTTCCCGTGAGAAAGGGGCCAACATTTTTGCGGTGTGCCAGTAGACACCAGTACAGTAGGATCAATGAACTCTAGCAGAGGCACTCTGCGGCAGGGCCCCCTGGTGCCTCCAAGACCTTAGCTGCAGACATTTCTATATTTAAGATAAGCTGTGAGCCAAGGGGCTTCATGGCACCTAGGATCCCAAAAAGCCTCTGAAAATTGTATGGCCTTAAGGCCAGCAGTGGAAGCGGTCAGACCTAAAGGGATCCTCCTTTTCTTGCATGAAACCCTTGTATTTCCTTAAGATGTGCTGTGGGTGGAAGGTGGTGGAAGAGGTGAAATGAGGCCCAGGCCCAGAACTTTCCAGATGTGGGTTATACTTCTTGTGCACCTCAGTGGAAGCTGCATTAGTCCACGTGCCAGGTCAACAAGACCCTAGGTGTGAAATGTCACCTTCACCTTCAGTCACCTGCTTGCCCCTGCCCACCCTAGGTGTCATAGTGTCAGCTGAAGGAGGGCCTCTCTTTCCAGCATGACCAGGGAAGACCAACGGGGAGTGAGAACACTGTGGTCTGTTCATATGTCCAGTGTAAGAACAAACTCTCAGAACCACTCCCCCTTCAAAGAGCTGGCCTGATCTTCAAAAGCGGTAGATTTAGGGTACTAAGTGTTGTCCCGGAATGAGCAGCACTGGTCTGCTAATGGGAACACACAGGCAATCTCTGAGGTTAGCCTCAGGCTGATGCTGGCACCACTGGGAGATCTTTCAGCCATGCATAAGAGTATTTGGGACCTTGCAGTAGAGAATTCAACAGAATTTGGACAGGGGCGATCAGTGGAAGTAGAACATGGGCAGGTGAGTAGGAGGACCAATGATCCTCAGAAGAAAGGAAAGACTGTACCCGGTCCCTATTCACTCAGGCCCTCCTGGTCAGCTGGGCCTCCTTGTCTACATTCCTACCTTTCCAGTGGCCTCAGCAGCCTTTGGTCTGTGGCTTTCTTCATTTGGTCCCCAAAACTTTTATCTTCAAGACTGCTCTCTCCCTACCTGCAGTCTAACCTCTGTGTCTCGATCTCTTCCCCTCTCTCTTGCTCCCCATTTTTGTGTGTGCATCCAGCCAGCACCAATCAGCAGGTCTCCGGGGTCAGGTGTAGAGCCTCTTCCCTTGGATGTGCCCTCCAGGAGCAGCTGTGCCCCTGCTGTACCTTGGAAGCCCAGTGACTCTCTACTGCCAGGACTACCCGGAGTCTAGGTTCCAATCCAAACATGCTCCATAAATCCTCAGATTCTACATCTTTAGAACATATGTCACATCCCCTGCCCCATCTTTGTGAAATCACGAACACAAACTCTTTGACCAGTCTGCCGTCACCCAGGGTTAGTGGATCTGAGACTGAAGGGCATTCCAAGTAATGGTCAGCTAAGAGGCACTTGTGACTGTGGGTGCCATGGCTAGTGGGGCCCACTTGATCTTTTGTGTTGTGGGGTAGAAGTTGTGAGGGATCCAGTGCTATTGAGCAAGTTGACCTGCTCCAGAATTAGAAAGGGAGACCCCTGTCCAAACCAGGGGGCCTCTCTGGCAGATTAACCTCCCACTACACCAGTACATCTAGAATTATTTAACATAACCCAGGACCAATACCAGATAAAGGCAGGTTAAAAAAAAAAAAGGTAAGTGGAGCCCACTACTTCCAAGGACCTAGAAACAAAAATCCTTAACAGAGGATCAGCAAATTGATTCCAGCGATACATGAAAAGAATACTTGTGAACCTATAAGACTTTTGTCTAGGAATGCCCAATTAATGCTTCAAACTAATTTTAGTAGGTTAGGCCATTATGCCAGGGAAAAAAACCCTATAATACACAGTCATTAAAAAAATGTTTCCCATTGCCTTATCTAGTGTCAGGGAAATCCCAGCACCCGTAGCGTGAGGGTCCTAGGAAAGTCCTCTGTCTTTTTCACCTGCTTCTTTTTGGTTTTGTTTTGAGACAGGCTCTCTCCATGTACTCCAGGCTGACCTCAAGTTTGCCATGATTCCCCTTCCAAGTCTTGATATTACAGGCATGTACTGCCATGCCTGCCCAGGGAGAGAGGCTACAGAGCATTTGGGGGGACAGTCAGGAGGGAGACAAAGAAGCCAGGAGAGGCTCAGAATTCCTGCAGACTGGGCTTGCTTCTCATTAGCCTGGCTAACCTAGAGAAAGAGAAAGGACTAGAAAACCCCAAGACTAACAAACATAAGTCCCAGGGCAGAGGCCACTACTTCGGAACTGCTTTTACAGTGATTCAGCTGTGGGACCTGGGCTTGGGAGGGGCTTAGAGATGGCAGGTGGCCAAGCTATAGGCCCACGTGGAGTGCGGTTGGGAAGGTGTACCTCCACTTATCTTCACTTGTTCCTCCATCCGGCCTATTATTCCATTCACATTTGTCCAAGAAGAAAACGAGGCTAAGAGAACACAGCACTGGCCTTGGGAAGGGTTGTACAGCTCTCCGAATGCAGATAAGAGACTGGCGTGTGGATACATCTGAAGAGGACCACAAGGTGCTGTGTGCGGTTGTGAAAGCCGGCTAGAGAGTCTCATTTTAAAATTGGTGCTTTTGTTCCTTTCCTCCTTTGCTTTCTGGCACACGGGATATTGTTTTATGACATCTGGGGCCCCCACTGATACGGCAGGGGAAGCCAGAGCCAGATGCAGGATTATGGGGAGCAAGGAAAGGAGACATTGTTTCCAAAGCCTTCTAGATCAGTTTAAAGCATTAATCCATTTCCTGAGAAACAGCCCAGGCCCCGGAATGCATTCCCTAGGAGACAGCACCAGGGGGCCCTCATTCTGGCTCCTTACTGTCTTGTACATACAGTAAGGCAACCAGAGTGGAGGGCAGGCTGGGAATATGCACCCACACCCTCCCTGGAAGTAAGAGAAGGAAAGAAGTTTGCAGTGGCGGTATTAAACAAATGCAGTAAATGCAAGTGCTGCAGTTGCCAGGAGCATGCATTATTTTCTCTTCCCTCCACTCCTTCTGGAGCAAGCCATAAAGAATTGATGAAGAGAGAAACTGTGTCCAAGGCAATTGAGCAAACACTGTCTGCATGGAGTCTTCCCAGACCACTGGTTACAGCTGAATCAAGACAGAATAGTAAGCTGTCCCTTCCTCCACAGCGGATTTTCAGTTCCACACTCCTTGTATTGACTCATTTAATGAGATGGCTTCTGAGGCAAAGGTGAGGCCCCAGCCACAGACCTGCTTTGAGGAAAGGTGCCCTGCCTAGCATTCTCATCCTGCCTGCTCTTGCTTGTAATGAGACTATTTATGCTTTCAATTTAGTTTTTATTATTATTGCTGTTTGCTTTTCAGAGTTTAGAGATGTACATCAAGGCATCTCCCGCCTCAGACACCTCCAAAGCATTCCTCAGCTGCCAGGGAAGAGCGTCTCAGTCATGGTGAACACTGATAATTAAAGTCAACATCTCAGCACATTGAGTCAATTTCTTGAAAGTCTTTTTTTCAACACCAGGTAACCCTGTGTGTCAGTTCTCCATACCCAATAGCTGGCAGGCTTCCTCTTTTGCAAAATGAAAGTCTCTCATGAAATTTGCATTTAATAAAGGTTTTTTATTTTCCTGCTTTTCTCAGGAACCTCTGATACCATGGTCCTCTCTTGGTCCTGACCTGACCATTTTCCAAGTGATGACCATTTTCCAAGTGAGGGTAAGGAGCTGCCTATGGTTATCATGGCTACTGAGTGTGCATTGAACTGTCCCATGTTTGCTCATACATGAAGAAATATGAATCCCGTTTCACCCGAGCAGTGTGATCCTTGAACCTCCAACTCCTTCTGTGAAGAAGCCACAGAGCTCTGTCCTCCTCACCCCCTTCCTTAAGGTCCAGGGTGGGAACAAACCTGGGCTGTGAGCTGGAGCCTCACAGCAGCCCTGAGGCTCAGTGTACTTCAGACATCAAGCCTTTTATGGCTGGGTATAGTCGTGGGGTCTCATAGAAACCCACAGTCCTTCCTCTCAGGTAAGGACCTCTGCAGAGAGACTGTAGTCCAGGCGGTTATAGGATGCTTGTCTTAGAGGGCACCCTGATACTCAGGGGGAGGGCATTGATGGTCCTGCAGTTCTAAAGGGCTTGAACTTTCCTCTCCACCCCTGACTACCCTCTGCTCAGTAGTCATTGTCCCTCACTTCCTCCATGGTATCATTCAACAGCAAGGCAGATGAAGGTCTCCCACATCCTTTGAGGTCCAGCTCCACC